CCCCAATCCAAAACAATAACAGAGGAGACCGGTGGAGGTCGACCTAAATGCAACAAACGAACTCGAGCCACGTTCACCGGACCATACCTCCAGCTGAACTGACTCAAGCTCGAGGGACGAGACAACTGGGTGCACACGCAAGCCACTGCAAGAAGCTTCTCAGCTACACCAGAGAATGAGGGGTGTCATTTTCCTTTTTCTTTTTGTTTGTATGTCTTACATGTGTGTGAACGGAGGAAAAGACGGCAGATATACCCCAACCTTTTATTTAAAATGCACCTACGTTTAGCCAGAACCCAGCAACAACAAAACCAACTGTTGGGTATGCTCTAAGCCCCCACCCAGTCATCACATGTCCACAATGGCCGCTGTTCATGCCCCTATATGACATCCGCGTCGGCATGAAAAAGCAAGGGACCCCTGGTCAGCCCCCACGTAGACATTTATCGGTAGAACTTAATGACACATTTTTAGCAGGTAACATCATTTCAGCACCAATATTAGCTCTAGCTCCTGTAGGGCCCTCACCAGTCCATTATGGGTAACTGGACAGCTAGGCAGCCCTCAGGTGTGCTTTAACATCAGCTTTGGCACAGGTAACAAGTTTGTTGGGACTACCACCTGCGAGGGAGGTATAACTGTCAATCTGACTAACCAGACTTCCTTTCTGAGTAACCACACTGACCGACCAGACCACGTGTGTGTTGGAAGGACGGATGTGATGTGCAGACTGAGGGAGCAATCCCCCAGTCTGTGCAACTGTTGCTCAGTACCAGAGGCCGAACGAGGAACTCCTCCTGCTCTGCTCTGACAGGTCCATACTATTTTCTGTGTGGTTCGGCAGCCTATAGAACATTTCCCCAGAACGCGATAAAAGGTTCGTGTGCCCTCATAAAGCTAGTCCCCGCATCCTATGTAGTGATGGACCATGAAGAGTTGATGGTCCACAAGAAGGTAAGGATGGCAGGGAGAGTTCGCAGGGAACTGTTCTCTGAGGGCGACCAGGCATGGGCTTGGTTCCCCTCATGGACAGGATGGGGAATAGAACTTATGAAGCGCCTGAACAATTTTTCTGTCATCGTGGATAGTATGTTTAACGAGACCGTAGAGGCTGTCAGAGAAATTGCCCAAGAACAACGGCAGATGGGAATTTTAGTGCTTCAGGAGAAGATGGCCCTTGATTACCTTTTAGCCGCCAAAGGGGGGTTCTGTGAGTTCATCGGAGAGGATTGTTGTACTTGGATAGAAGACACCGATGACAAGGTCCAGGCCCATATGGACAAAAGTTAGTGAACTACAGGGAAAAGCTAGAGCTATAGCTAGTGAGGGTTGGAATCCGTTCAAGGGTTTGGGAGGATTGGGAGATTTCCTGTTCTCCATCGGATCTTGGTTGAAGGAAGTGGGAGTGTATATCCTGATGCTTCTCTTTTTCATCTGCCTTTTATATGCCGCGGTGAGATGTTCCTGTTGCCTCATCGACCGTGTAAACCAAGCTCGGGCAGACGACCACATCTCCATGCCCGCTCCTGGGATCCCACTCTCCAACCACTGATCGGAGGAAGACCTCACCAACCATCCACCTTCTCTACAGATTACGTCCTGGCTTCCCTCTAATTTATCTCTCTGAAGACCACATTCTCCAAGACCTTCAAGCAAGCTTCAAGCCTCATCATGGTTTGTGTGTCTGCGATTTGGAAAACTGTCTGGGTCGAGACCAGCCTTGTGTGGCCCCCGTCTGCAGGGGCAATTTGAGAATCTGTTGCTGGATCTCCCCAGACCACGGTGGGATCACAAGCTTTATTCATACCACAAGTCTGTTTGTGGTTTTTGCAAGAGCCTTCCTGTAGTGAAGGTTCCAACGCTCTTGAGGATCATCGCTTCAATCAAGCCTGTTTGCGTCGAGTCTGCGTCGGGTCTTGTTGTTTCAGGTACCCCCGTGGGAGCTTTATTCTCAGGGACAACTACAGGAACTCTTTGAAGTTTGAGACTACACCCATCAAGCTGAAGAAGATCAAGAAGGGACACGAGGAGAATATGATAAAACAGGAGGGAATGTCATGGAAATTTTGTATTGTTGGTCGAACTTTAAATGTGTCATGTATTCGTGTTATTCATATGTCTCTCGTGTGGCTTAATTAAAGCTCTGAAGGCTGCAATTGGGCCATGCCATGTACAATGTATGTATTACAGTACTCAGCTTGGTAATGGATGAGATGGCAGATCTGCGCTTATAGACCGGCGTGTATACCACCACGGCATTCCATGCGAATGCTGCTGTCAGTAGACCGTGGGCCTGTATCCACATATCAGCAGCATGGTACCACGTGGGCTTCATAACGCAATGCGCAAGCGGTGTGAACTCCACGTGTAGGCTTATGCATATCTTACAACCCATTACCAACTTGAAACTGTATCTGGGATGGATGTGTTTTAATAAAGATCGTATCGGGCCCATCCAGGTACAGACTGATATTTTTAGGGAGTGCTTGTGCAGAGAATTTTACATACCAATAGAAGCTAGTAGGACAGGAAATATGACCTCAGATGGCTCATAGGGGGGAAGGGGAGGAAGTCTGCTGACCTCAGAAGACTCATGGGGGAGGACCAGTGATAGATAATAGCAAAGGCTATGCTCCAATTGGAATGTATATCCTCTGTATAGGCAATCCCCATTGTATTGTTCGGTGGGAGGGATTGACTTTATTCATGTGGGGGGCATGTGTGTATTCTTAATAAAAACAGAGAGCTGAGCCTAAAGCCGGCCCTTATGTGGATTGCAACCAGCCTTAGAGTGTCGTGTGATCATTCTAGGGTAACGGAGCTCCAATCACCTACATTTCAACAGAACCAAAGTATTTGGATGGGCAGGAATCGTGTGTAGTTTGGCTGCAGTCGTGGTAAGCGAGATTCGCACAGCTTTATGGGGGATTTCTGACAACAAACCCACCCCCAAAACACATCTATAACAAAAAACACCAAACACCATGCGCAATCACACAAAGTACTCACGGTAAGGAGAAATTCGTTAAAGCGAATTTCCAAGACACTAGTAGTAGATACGAGGAACTTCAAAGCAATATTTATAACACAATATGCTTATGGAACTCATGGTGTTTTGGAGATATGCAAGAAATGTTTCATAGAAAAAGAACAGCATCCAGCTGACATACGATGGGAAGGCTGGATAGCCGAAATATAGAGGTTTGGTGGGATTCTCTGAATGACTACGAGGCAAGGTAGTTCAATAAAGGTTGCCAGGAGATATTATCGGAAGGGGGTGGGAATATGTGGCAGGGAAGGGGAGAGGGTCATCAAGGTAGCAGATTAGTGGTGGAAGTAGGAAGGAAGGGAAATGTGGGGAATAGGAAAAATAGGGGTTTGTGGGAAGGACTGCAGATCTCACCACTTAAGCAGAATGGGGGTCACTGGGTACCTGACCATGCCCCAATGGTTGGAGGGTCAAAAATCAAAATACTGCTAGAAATAAAAGTAAGAAGGGGTGAAGTAGGTATTGTGGGCTGTTGGATGTCCATCAAGTTCACAGGATTCATAGCAGGAGATATAAAGCAACCTCTCTTATGGGTTCCCTGTGATTGCCATCTCGATTGGAATTGGATGCCTTCGGGAACAGAAAGCAGAGCGACATTGTTGATGTGGAGTCTGATGATGATGAAGAGGAGGTCAGGTCTAGCTCTTATAGGACTACTAGGAGTTTTTTTGAGATTCTGCAGGCATGCTTCGAATCCTGGTATGTGAAGTGAAGAAAAAATGGAAACCCCCATGTGAAGGTGATATGGTGACATTGCCAGACCTGGAGAAGAGGACTTCAGAGCTAGACATTTGGAGAGTATTAGTTTTGAAATGTTCAGCAAATAGCTGGTAGGTATGTACTTGGAAGATCAAAGTTTCCTTCTGTCGTGCAGTATGTAGTAGTTGCTCTTTGGGTCTATAGAAGTGTAATTTTGTAAATAAGTCACATGGAGGGCCTTTAGATTTGCGTGGTGCCAGGGCTCTGTGGACATGGTCCATCTCAAGGCATTCTGTGGCAACTGACAGTGCCAATTCTTGGAAGGGGGATTTCACTGTGGATTGTAGGTCTTTAACCGACTCATGTATACCCCATATGTGTAAAATGGCGTGCCCTGTTTTCAAAGTCTTCTAGGCAGGTCTGGAGGGACAAGTTCTCCCCACGGAGGGCTTCCAGTTTCTCAGTATTATTGCCAAGACCAGCTTCTAAGTCGTCTGTTCTCTGCTCAAGGTCTGCTGGATCAGTGGTCAATTATCTGGTCAGAAGTCTGTTTGAGTGCTTGGTGTAGCATCTTCTCCAACTGCTTAAGGATATCTGTCGGAGCCGTGAGTGGAGATAACAAGGTGGATTAGAGGTCTACATCTGACTCAATCTCTTCCTCCTGTAGCTTCGGATTCTCTTTGGGAGAGTGTGGTACATGGGCATAGGAAGATGACGGATCCACCATCTTGGAGGACGCTCAGGATAGTACTTCATGGATAGACTTTGGTTTTGTTTTCCGGTGGACACCTCCATAGACCATGGTGCCAATGCTCAGGTCTCTCCAACTCCAGGGCAGGCTTGTAGGAGTGCGGGTTGTGGCCGGGCTTGTTGTTTAACCACTAGCCTACAGGGCACTTATATCCCTTTCCTGCCCAGCCCAATTTCCAGCTTTCAGCGCTGTCACACTTTGAATGACAATTGCGCGGTCATGCAACACTGTACCCATATGAAATTTTTAGCATTTTTTTGAGACAGATAGAGCTTTCTTTTGGTGGTATTTAATCACCTCTGGGATTTTTATTTTTTCTTAAACAAACCAAAAACCACTGAAAATTTTGAAAAAAAAAAAGTTTTACTTTTTATTATACAATTTTGTAAATAAGTGATTTTACTTCTTCACTTCACTTGACGCTAATGAGGTTGCACTGATGGACACTGATAGGTGGCACTGATGAGGAGACACTGGTAGGTTGCACTGATGGGCATTGACAGGCATCACTGATGGGCACTGAAAAGGCAGCACTGATACATGACACTGATAGGCGGCACTGTTAGGCAGCACTGACTGGCACTGTTAGGCGGCACTAACTGGCACTGATGGGTGACACTGAAAGGCAGCTCAGATGGGCACTGATATGTGGCATTGATGTGCACTGGTATGCACTGATATGTGGCATTGATGGGCACTGGCACGTGGCACTGATGAGCACTGACTGCTGGCACTGATGGACACTGAAAGGTGGCATGTCTGGGGCCACACTGATCATCAGGGCACACTGATCATCAGTGCCCTGATGATCAGTGTACATGTCCCCTCCGCGGAAAAGCCGATTACCGGCTCTCCTCACCTCTCGAGCTGTCAGCGTGATGGCTCGAGAGGAGAGAAATACCGATAACCAGCATTTCCCTGTTTACATGTGATCAGCTGTGATTGGACACAACTGATCACATGACCGAGCCGACATCTTCAGCTCTTTCCGTGATCCGCGGTGTCCGAGGGACACAGCGCACCGGCGATTGACGCGCTGCACGCTCCCTGAACCGCGCATGCGCAGTGAGAATGGAAGGACGTTATATGACGTCCTATCAGAAGAAGAGAACCACCTTGCGCCCGTCATTGTACTATATGGTGGGCGGAAGGTGGTTAAACAAAAGGGCGCTGGCTTCCGAGGTGTGGAACACCAGACTGGTATTTAAATCCAGGTTGGCTTCACGCAGGCCTCCCAAGATGTGTGATTTTATCAAGAGATCAATGTTGATGTAGAAATTATCAATCTTCAAAAGGATATCTAGATACATATCATATCATCCTTTTCCGTCTCTCTTCTGAATCATACAGATTAGGAACACACTTATTTCAATAATACATCAACATGGTAACATCATTCTTCTCTTGTTCAAACATTTTATTAACAATAAAGCAATGTAACAAGGACAGAGAGACATTACCAGCATACATTAGGCATTGCACTGACAATAAAACATAGGGATTAGAAATCACTGTCAATGTCCTCATGATAGGGAGGAAAGAGAATAGCACAAAAACAATGCAAGTTACTGATGATAGCAAATGAGTAAGGGTTGTTAGCGATGGATTTCGTAAATTTGATCAGTTGGGATAATGACTCACTGGAACATTGTAAAAGGTTGAGGGTATTTAGATGAGGATTTGAGGGGGGGGGGGGTAGGAGAGGAAAAGGGAGGGGGGGGAGGGGGAGGAGAAAGAGAGCAACAGCAATGACTCCATGGACGGTAGAGAGGAGCATGGCAACACTCATGCGCGCACGTGAGGTAGGTCACGGGCAGTGTCCAAGGTGTACTGTATACGAATCAAGGGAGAAGAAGAGATTCATCAAAGTTAGGCGGGAGGAAAAACTCTACCCAGGGACTCCAAACATTTAAGAATTTGGGGATCGTGTCGAGAATTGTGGCTTCCACCTTTGCGTGTATCATAGCTTGGGTTATTCTGGATATAACAGCAGTAATATTTAAAGAGGGGGATTTCCAGGATTTCGCAATGACCTGCTTGGCTGCCGTAGTGACTTGCAGGAGGGAGGAGTTTGAATTCTGAATTGGAAATGCCCGGGGGGTGTTCATTGAGTAGGGCAGTTGTGTTGTCGGGTTGTGTTGTAACTTGGTAGCGCTAAGTGTGGATCAACATATTGAAGATTTCAACCCAGAAGGTTTGAGCAACTGGACAATCCCACCATATGAGGTAATACGGCGTTCCAGGGTCTGTACAGCCTCTAAAGCAACTGGGCAAGTAATTAGGGGTGTATGTTGCGATTCTAGCTGGGGGACCAAATACCATCGCGTTAAGACTGTTATTTTATAATTGGTTTCCAGAACAACAATGTTCTGAGAAGATGATTTTGTATTGGCCCAGATGTGGTCCCACTCAGATGAGTCTAATTGCCGATCTAAGTCTGTTTCCCATAACATCATTCTTCTCATGACTGCCCTTTGTCTAGTATAAATGCTCTGTATTATATATATTATATATATATATATATATATATATATATTGCAAAAGCATATAAACACTTCATACCTTTAGGGACAGGGGCGTAGTTTACCGCAAGGCAACAAGGCGTTTGTCTTGGATGGCATTTTTTTAGGGACTCATGTGACAGGTGGACAGAAATATGGGGACCAATTGAGGCACGGCTGAGCTCTGCCATGGGACCTGAGAGAGGT